GAGAGAGAGAGAGAGAGAGAGAGAGAGAGAGAGAGAGAGAGAGAGAGAGAGAGAGACGAACAAGCTCACTCGTACATATTATTATACTCTCTCACACACTCTGTCTTCTACACACAGATACACATACACAGATACACAAGTGGCAGAACAAGAAAACCCTTCACATGAGTCACTTCACACTGGGATCTGCACATTTTCGGTCCCAATTTAGTTTTAACAGTTGCTTCAGTTGAAAAATACAACTTCATACTTCGCTTTCAATTCTTGACATATTGGGCACGAGGGTTTGTGAACTATCAGCATGATTGCCCTTCCGCTCTGTTGAGACAGACTCAAGGCTTCGGAGAAAGGCGTCCAGTCTATCCCGTCTCCCCATCCTGCAGACAAAGAAATTTAAATATGAAAAAAAAAACACATAACGTCCCTAAAAAATAAAAGAAGTTGATACTTTCTCCGCAGCATATCACCATTTAAATTTCTATTTTAGTAGAGGTTTTTACGGCGCTCGCAACTGCATAAGGTCATAATATGAGCGCCAGAAGATTAGAGGTGTTACAAGGGAGTAACAAACATATAAAAGAAGGAGGGGAGATAAAGACGATAGATGTTTGACAGGAAAGAAGGAGCAAACCACGCCAGAGCACCCGCCAACCACCCACTCCACTTAAGCTAATCTGCGTTCTATGATTAAGAATGTGAAAGTGACAAAACTTTGCTTTGTCTCCTCGTTTTGTTGTTGTTGTTTCTTTGACTGCTCTTGTGTTTTGGGAGGGAGGGTGTTTGGGGGAGGGAGAGGGGGGGCCAACAGGGCGAGACACGAGTGAGGGGGGTAGGCCAGTCATGAAACCTTCCTTATCAGCGTGAAAACAGGAGCGTCGTTTCTTTCTCTTTCAAGTGGTTGAGGTGTATGTGATTTCTACAAATTATTTACACACTCCTTGTCGATCCTCACGACTGCTACTGTGTTAAAAATGTGGGTAGGTATAATACCAACTGTCATCCCCAATGTAGATTTAGTTGTGAGCAGCTGCACTTCACCTTTATTGTAGAGCGAACAATTTTAATACAAAATTGCAGGGGGGGGGGAAGAGGCGTCCCCTCTCCCTCCCTCTCTCTCTCTCTCTCTCTCTCTCTCTCTCTCTCTCTCTCTCTCTCTCTCTCTCTCTCTCTCTCTCTCTCTCTCTTTCTCTTTAACCGCGCACACGGCGGCCTGGCATTTCAGAGGGTTTTTGTTTGATTTTTTTCTAGCGCTTAGGTCGGTTTCCTAACCTCTAGGCCTATCTCTTGATTTTTCTTCGGAACCAAAACGAAGTTTATGCATACCTCTAGATGATGCAGCTGATGATGCTTTTATCGAGAAGAAAAGTTTACCAACAGCAATAGGCAATAATCCAAACATTGTGATGTATTCCTTAATTGCATTCACAGACGGTGCGTTTCGTACAGGTTCACCGATTGCAGAAAATCGTGCACGCTATGAACCCCTCTTTGTTCATTACACCTCCTAGAGAGTCCCTGAATCTTTCATCAATATTCTCTTCTTTGTTTTATTTTTCTTTGTTTGTTATTTGCTTGTTTGTTGTTTGATTATTTGTTTGGCTGTTTTGCCTTCTAAACTGGATTTTTCCCCTTCTGCCCCTCCTCCATAACAGTGTCCCGTAAGCAGCCGTTACAGTTATGCTTGGACTGTAAAAAGGATTGTTCTTGAAGTTTTTATTTTAACTAGATCTAGTCACTACTTACTGAAATCCACAACAACAACAACAACAACAACGACAACAACAACAACAACAACAACAACAACAACAACAACAACAACAACAACAACAACAACAATACCCGGCGGTGGCATCTCTTCGGGGGGGGGGGGGATTCAGGGAGGTTGGACTGCCTCACCCGCTACCCAAGGGAGGCGGTGGCCCTGGCGAAGAGCACGCTCTTCGGGGCTCCGAACATTTCGAACGGATAGGCTACCACACACACACACAACAACAATAACCAAGCGCACACATGTTTTGATTTGATGCACACCGAATCCCTCAAGTCAAATACTTTGAACGGAAATCGCCGCCACCCACGTCACTTCCATTGGTTTCCTCAAATATTCATACAACCTATCCATTGTGGCAACAATGGCTCGCGTTCTTGTTGCTGTTATGGGACCTATTTTCAATCTTGTGTCCGCAACGGGCAATGCCAGATCCAAAGGTGAGTTCGTGTCACTGGAAGGCAGTAAAGAAATACTTTAAATATTCATTCAGCTTCCATTCTTATCGCCAGCCTGTCTGTCTGCCTGTCGTCTGTCTGTCTATCTGTCTGTCTGTCTGTCTGTATGTATGTATGCTTCTCTCTCTCTTTCACGTTCACTTTCTCTCTCTCTCTCTCTCTCTCTCTCTCTCTCTCTCTCTCTCTCTCTCTCTCTCTCTCTCTCTCTCTCTCTCTCTCTCTCTCTCTCTCTCTCTCTCTCTTTTTTTTTTTCTCTTTCTCCTTCTCTCGCATTTTCTCTCTCACTCTCCTCTTCTCCCATTCTCTCTCTCCCTCTCCCCTCTCTATCTTTCTCTCTACTTCTCTGCATGTCTGTCCCTCTCCTTCTCTCTCTCTATCTCTATTTCTCTATCTATATATCTATCTATCTATCTATCTATCTATCTATCTATCTATCTATCTATCTATCTATCTATTTATCTGTCTATTTACCTAATCTGTCTGTCTGTCTGTCTGTCTGTCTGTCTGTCTGTCTGTCTGTTTGTCTGTCTGTCTGTCTGTCTGTCTATATCTATCCATCTATCTTTCCTCACAATGGCGGCGTGCTATCGACACAGGTTGGGGGGACAACATCGATTGGTGGACTCTCCGGGACGGTCTGGCACGCTCGCGCGTTGAAAACAAACCTCTGATGGTGGTGGTGCACCGAATGACCTGTCCGGCCTGTGTGTACCTCAAGTCCCGGTTCTCCAATAGTCCGGACATCGCCAGTCAGAGCCGGCATTTTGTCATGGTCAATCTGGAGCCCGCGGAGACGCCGTCAGACGACAGACAGTTCCATCCCGACGGCCATTATGTTCCTCGGATTTTCTTCTTCAAGCCCGACGGCCACCTCATGACAGACGTGATGCACGATCCCCACTCTGAGTACAGATATAACTACCCTAACGCAATGGCTATTGCCAACAGCATGAGTAAAGTGCGCAATATGTTGTTTAAAGGAAACTGAAAATCCGTCTTCGAAAAGACGTCATTTGCGTCCAGTATATAGATACATTTAAACAAAAACATCTGGATAGCTTGCGTGTGATTATTCTGACTTCGAACAAGGAAGAAGAAAAGGAAACTATATCTTTGTATCATGCTGGGCTATGATGCAGATGTCCGTGGTTTTAAAGGGGAGTTCTTGAACGTTGTTGAGTTTTCAAGGCTCTCGACACCACCCGACGTGGTTATATCTGAAATGGACATTGAATTCGTAGGCCCCGCCTCTTAAATGACGTAACTGTGACCATAGTATACGAAAACTGACTCTAGGTTTCGCACTTTTTATTTTCACTAAACAGTTTTGGGGGGGGGGGGATTTGAAGTTATTCTCTAAGAAATGCAAGCACTAAAAACTAACTACAACCTCAATTTGTATTTTGTTGAATAATCTTATCTTTTTTTCGCCGTCTGACATCTTTTTTAACTACTTACCCTCCCGTGCAGTAATTTGTCTTTCGTGATATTATATTCAATCACTTTTTTAAAATAGTGTCTATTGCCTAATTACCTTGTGTGTGAATATGAATTATATTATGTATGTCCCATGTCATAAAAGGTTTTCTGTTCACAACAGCCACTTGCGTGTCTTTCTTGTGTTCCTGTTAATTCCCTTTCAACACATTCAGTTTGAAGTTCATCACGTTTGAGCTTAATATCTTTGTTGGTAGGCCTACTTACTGTTTATTGGCCCTGTATTTGTTCTGTTAACGTATCTTTGTACTGTATTTGGGTTGGGGGCAAATGACTGAATGTTTTATGAGGTATTTGTTGCTTTTGTTGTATTAACTTTCAATAAATAATTACGTGCATTTTCTAACACAAGTTAATCTTGAATGGAGGGGAGTTATCATCTTTATCTTTGCCTTTCTCACACTGGATCAGGGTACAGATTATGAACAAACACTTTCCACAGTTCCCAGTCCTTGGCTAGCTTCTTGACACTACTCAATGGAGAGGAGTTATATTAGTGGTTATTGTTTGAGATTGGGGGGGGGGGTAGTTTTAATGACCGTTCAGTTTAATAACTGAATGTCCTAAGATGATCTATTTGACCCAATTGTGAAGCATAAAATCCGCTTTTGTTCTTTTGGTGTTTTTTATTCCTTTTTTTTTGGGGGGGGGGGTGGGTATGTTATGTTCTTGTACTTAGTGTTAGTAGAGGTTTTACGGCGCTCGTAACTGCATAAGGTCTTTTGAGCGCTAGGATGTTCTTGTTCTATTTGGAGATTGTAATTTTTATCGAAGAGAGGGGAGGGGAGGGAAGGGATGCATAGCCTGTCTGTACCGACAACAAACAACTTTCGTTTCATTCTCTTCTGACACTCGATGTGCTCAAAAGCATAGCTATACATTGTACGTAGGTAATGAACGGAAGTGACACATTCTTGGAGTTCGGAGCCTCGTTTTCTCAGTGACTGGGTTACGTCCACAGCCACCATGACTCGTTTTTTGGCAGCAAGCTTTGGCCCTCTATTAAGCGTTGTATCTGCAGCTGAAAAGGCGAAACCCAACGGTAGGTTAAATCCTGCATTTTCCGCCCTGCTTAATATGCTGTTCAAAGTGCTAGATCTATATAATACAGCAACTGAATTTTTACAATAGAAAGCATTGGAAATGTTAAAAGCTGTAACTTTGATACAATATTACATGTAGACGTCTAAATCTACTTCTACATCTACATTGTATCATTTTTGTAGATCTAGATTATATCTAGATCTCTACATCCCCCCTCCCCCCGTTACAATGCATAAGCAGATAGTAACAGAAAGAACATCTCGAACTTGCGTGTTCTAATCTTTGTCTTGTGCTTGTTGAGCAAAAACACTATCTAGATCTAGATCTAGATCAGCTATTTTCTAATAAGTAAATTTCCATCTCCTTTGAACAAGATATGTTTAACTGGATATTTCTTGACAGACTCCGGATTTTAAAGGGGGTTGGTTTTGAGATCAGGAGCGGTATGCTTATTTTACTTCAAATTTAAAAGATAGTGCGTTTATTTCTTAGCAAATTAAACGTTATACTTTCACTTATACACTGTCAACACCAAGTTCCCTCCGAAATAATAATAATGTGCAAGCACGTGATTAGTGTCTGCTCCTACCATGGACTACTTCTTTTACTTCTTTTCCGATTATTTTTGTCAAATGTTGTTCCCGTGTCAAACGTAGACGTGCCACAATTCGACATCGCTTTACTTTATGTACTTAGGCTCTTTTCTTACCCGCTATAACATAATGTTGGTTCAGTTGGTGATACTGCAGTACAATGGTTTGGATGGCCCTTGTTCGAAGTGTCAATACGGCACTCAGGATCGTGTGTTGTTTGCGAAGTTTTTAAGGTTCTCTGAGTATATATGCTTTAGATATATCGGTGATGGAAGATATTGCCTTTTTAAAAAACGTGCTTAGAAAAGTATTGAAGAGAACATTTAAGACGTACAATACTGTACACACTGGAAAAGTTCTGGCCATTTTTAAGACTGGTAATCTCGCAGGCAAACGTCTCTGTCTTTAATTGTTCTCCTACTCAGGAGAACATGATATCAACCTGTAAAACCATATTATTGTAAGGAGCTTAAGACTGATCGCCTGGTGTTCATTTAACATGATTATTTTACAGGTTGGGGGTCAAGGATCGCGTGGATGAACCTTGATGAAGGCATGGCTAAGGCTCAGGCGGAGAAGAAACCTTTGATGTTAGTTATCCACAAAAAGAAGTGCGCTGCGTGCTTCTATCTCAGAAAGACGGTCTCCAGCAGCTCGGAGATTCAGGCTTTGAGCAAGAGCTTCGTCATGGTCAATTTGGACTGGTTTGAAACACTTAGAGAAAAACAATATCAGCCTGATGGCGAGTACCTACCCAGGATCCTGTTTTTCGGACCGGATGGTCAAGTGATGTACGACATTACGAACAGCCCTCAGGGACGACATAAATACAATTACTCCAAAGAAGGGGACATTGTAAAAAACATGAAGAAGGTGTACGCTATCGTGACAAGGGAAAACAATTCATGAGGTTTTAGAAAAATAAATTTAAGGTTATCATAATTATAGCTCTTCAAATAAGAGATCTGAAAACAATGTTGTAATTCTTTTATGCTGATATTGATACCCTCAACCTCTAGCCAGTTCCCATCAGTAACAACACTGAGACCGTGTACCCACACCAACTTCCATGTTCAAAAACTCAGACGAACGTATACTCTTTCTTTTTCTCTCAATCTCTCTCTTTCTTTCTTTCTCTCTTTCACTATCACACACACACACACACACACACACACACACACACACA